CGCCCGGGCCCCGGGCCCTGCCCCGCTCCGCTCCGGGATGGTGAACCTGGCGGCCATGGTGTGGCGCCGGCTCCTGAGGAGAGGTGGGTGCTGCCCTGGTCTTCGGGCTCTCGCTCGTCTACTTCCTCACCAGCACCTTCAAGCAGGTCAGTGGCCGCCCCCCTCCCTGGGTGGGGGAAGCTGCCTCTGCAGCTGCGCTGCCCGAGTGCCCGGTGCGCCGGGCCGCCTGGTCCGGAGAGGTGGGCATTCGTGTCCCGGGTTGAGGAGGGGCAGACCTGGGACGTAAACCTGGTGCTGTGGGGCCTAACGCTGTGCTTGTCACCCTGAGGGCCGCCTACCTGCTTCCTACCTGCATTTCTCCCTTCATCTTCGCGGCAGTGTGGGGAGTGGTGTCCCCGTGTTACAGCGGGGGAATCCGGGACTGAGAAAGGTGGAGCTGCCTGGGTCATTCAGCAGCCGAGTTACGGGGCCAGCACAGGTGTGCCTGGTTTACATTTAATTAATGTGCGCAGGGAGACTCCACAGGACCCACCGGGTGCCCGTTCTGTGGAATTTTCTTTTCACCTCCGCATCCCTTTAGTTTATTCCCTGTGGGAATTTCTGAGAGAAAAGGCAAGGTGCTTAGGTGGGAAATGTTACCGAGAGAATGGTAAGTTTGTTTTAGAAGTTCAGGGTTGAGCGTTTGGGCTTTCACATAGCGTGAGCATACTCGGGGGTGTACCCCGGACCACCCTGGTTTATGATACTCCTCCGACGGAGTTAGAAAAGCTCTCCTTTTCGTTCTCAAGAGTCAAGTTCATAAGTAAAATTTAGCGGTGAATACCAAATAAACGCTAAACGATATCGTCATCCAAGTTTCAGCAGATTGGTGGGGGAGCTGTGTCCCGCCTCCCGCAAAGAGAAGGGCGAGTGCTGGAAGCCTCTTTTGTAGGCCAGGATGTGTTTGGTGACATTCTCATGAACTAAGTATTTCTCGGGCTTGAGTGTTCTGCCACTTTGCAGACACTTCATGGTCACATGTTGTTATTTCTCTGTCCAGTGGACCTGTGGGTGCTGTAGTGAGCAAGGACTCAGACCTCTACCTTCCTCCCCACCTGACCCAGCTGATCCCTAGCACCATTAAGTACCAGATGTATGCTGTTGCTGTCCTAATTTGTAACTTCCACCTAGACCTATCCAGAAAACCCCGAATTCTTATATCCAGCTGCCTATTTGACCTGTCTTTTTGAATGTATTGTACTTCTCATACTTGGCCAAAACAGAATTCTTGATCTTCACCACCAAACTTCCTCCCCAGGCTCACTGTGTGGCATTCGTGTTCACCAGGTAGTCAAGCCACACATACTTTCTGCTTTTCTTTCTCTTACTCCCCATGTGCAAAACATGGCTTCTGCCTCCAGAGTGGATCCTGAATCTGTTCATCTCTCCCAGTTGTCACTGCTGCCACCATAAGTCAGCCTACCTCATCTGGACCTCTGTAGTCACCCACAAACAGATCTCTGCTTCCTTTCTTGTCCTACAGTCTGTTCTCTATCCAGCTGGAGGGGTGATAATCTGAAAAAAAAAAAACAAAACAAACAACAGTCTCGGCGCTTCCTTGTGTATAATTCTTTGGATTCCTATTGCACTCAAGATTGCAGACTCCCTTTCCAGGATCTCCACACCGTGAGTCTCTTTTGTCAGTTCAGGTGAGGCTGTTACTGCTTCAGGCCACACGAGGTGACACAGTGTCAGTGACTTCAGTTCCTGGCCCATAGGCCTGCTTTCTTTCTTTGTGGTAGGCATCACTTACTGAGCATTTCTGATCATTTACTTGTTTATCTGTCTCCCCTCATTCTCCTTTCTAGAATGTAATTTTCTGGAGAACAGGAACCTTGTCTGTGATGTTCGTAGAATCCCAGTCCCTAGAGTACTGCCAGGCACTTCATCTGTATTCAGATATTGGTTGAAAAAAAAATTGAGTCTTTTTTTTAATTGAAGTATAATTGATTTACAGTGTTGTGAATCAAGTCTTTTTATTTGGGATGACTTTTCCTTTCTTCTCAGCTTAGCACACTCCTAATTTTTCCTGTATTGACTCAGATGCTGCATACTCTGTGACTTTCTCTACAACCACCTTTTAAGCACTCTGGTGTACCTTGTTCTTTTTTTTCCCCACAGTGTGCCTTTTTTTGTTTTTTTACACTTATGATTTATGTCCATAATCATATGGGTTTGTGGTGAGGGGGATGATTTTGAATCCCCTAAAACTGTTGGCAAAATTTTTGTCTTACAGATTTCCCTGGATCTGATTCCCCACAGCCTAAGAAACACTTTTGCTATAACCTCTCTATCCCTGCCCGTCAAGCGTCTGGCAACCACCAGTCAACTTTCTGTCTCCATGGATTTAGCTTATTCAGGACATTTCATATAAATGGAATCATACACTATGTGGTCATCTGTGTCTGGCTTCTTAAAAGCCAGTGTTTTTAAGGCTTATGCATGTTGTAGAATGTGTTAGTACTTCATTTTATGTCTGAATAATAATTTGTTGTAGGCATCTGCCACATTGTGTTCATCCGTCATTAGTTGATGGAGACTTGGCTTGCTTTTGGCTGTCATGAACAATGCTGCCTTGAACGTTGGTGTACAGGTTTTGTTTGGAAATAACGTTTTCATTTCTCTTGAGTAAAGTCCTTCCCGTGGAACTGATGGGTCACTTGGTAACTCTGTTTAACTTTTTGAGGAACTGCTGAACGGTTTTCCAATGTGGCTGCGCCATTTGCAACAAACTTTTAAGAAACTATACTTGTCAAGTTTCGATATAGTATCAAAGAAGATTATCCATAATTATCTCGAAGAGCCACTAAAATACTCCTCTTTCCAGCTACGTATCTGTGTGAGGTAGATTTTCTTCATAACCTTCGCCCAAACAACCTATTGCAGTAAATTCTATGCAGAGGAAGATGTGAGAATCCAGCTGTTTTCCATTGAGCTAGACATTAAAAACATTTGCAAAAATGTAAAAACATTTTCTCATCTCACCAAATACGTATATATGTATTTTGAAAAATGGGTCCCCACACAAAATGTTGACATGGAATGAGCTCATTATTGTTACTTTTAAACAGATATTTTAAGAATTTGTTTTAATTTCCAATATGATAAATGTCAATAGCTACAACCCTCACAAGCCCACATACTGAAGTCCTCAGTCGTTTTTAAGAGTATAAGGGGTCCTTGGGACCAGAACCTCAGAGCCCATTCTGACGGATGCCCCTCCAGAGATCTGAGTTGGCTCTTCCTGCTGTTTTCTGCTGCAGCTCAGGTTGTCCGCCCGCCCACCATGAGCTCAGTGACTTGAGTTGAGTTTGCTCCGTGTTGCCTGGTCTCAGGTTGCATCTATCACTTGGAGCTGCGCTGTGGCATGTACTAGATGGGAAGGGAGGTGGTGGTGATTAGAATTAACTCAGAAGAGGCTGTGAAAAACTCCAGAGCCCCATATGATCCTTAGCTCTGCTTCAGTGAGACTGTGAACTTAGGGAGCAGATGTGGCCACTTTTTGCCTAGAGAATACTTGATTATTCTCTGCTGCCGCTGTGAATTCCTCTTTTCTTCAGTTTTCATGTTAATTAATGCTTTGGGGGATAGTTTAAATTGTAGGGATGGGAGCGCAGGAGACATTAGCCAGCTTGGTGGGGATGCCATCAGGGGAGAGGATTGGGTGCTAGGTGACTTGCACATTGATTTAACAAATGTTTAGTGAACACCAGCTGCACTCGACACTGTCTGCAAGTTGATGGAAATGTTACAGTGCAGATACCATCTTATTCTCCGAGAGCCTATATTCTGTTAGGGGGTGAGGGAAGAAATGAATGGCAAATTAACAGAATTATTTTAAATAATTTATAAAGGAAACAAAACAAGATGCAGAAGTAGAACAGTGAGGTGGGCCTAACTCTTTGGGGCATTTGAGCTGAGATTAGAGAAATCCCAACCCTGGAGTCAAAAGGGTCCTTAGAGGTCCTCTCATGTAAATAACAAGTCTCATACTTGTTCAAGTGGTGTAGTTCCTGAAAGTCTCAAGGCTATTTGTGTAACTCCTTGAAAATATATTAACATCTTTGGCTTTAAAGTAATTAGGTATGTAAATTGGTGCCAAGTTAGACACTGTCTAAAGTGTAATAAATCATAAGAAAAAGTTGCTAATGTTTTTTGTTGTTGTTCTTTTTCACTGACCACCAAGGTATATATACCTTTCATAAAGTTTGAAGAGTATGGCACGGGGTAGAGGAGGAAAACAATTATCCTTAATCTCACTAACCAGAGGGATTCACTGATGATATTTGGGCATACTTTCTTTCTTCATTTTTCATATTTTAAAAATATAATTGGGGCATACTGTTTCTTCGCTTAACATTCATGCATTTTTCCCCATCTTTAAAAGCTTTTTTTAAGTTTAATTTTTTATAACTAAAATTTTCCATGTTCAGGCTGTATTTAGCCATTCCGCAAATATTAGACATTTGGGATTCCCTCTGGCCTTTGTCCCTTTTTTTCCCTTCTCTTTTGAGAATCATGAGCAGATCTTTTAATGACAATGCCTTGTGTTTAAGTGCTTTACTAACATGAGACATTTATCTCATTTGACTCTTATGATAACCCTTGAAAAATAGAACAGTTATTAAAATACTCCTTTTAAAATCAGGTTGAGTAATATACATTAGTAATAAAAATTTCTGTAGCTCCTTGCAGTTCATGAAGAAAGTTCTTGTGTTTGTTTGTTTTTTGTTTTCTCTTCTTTGTTTTTGCTTTTTTCTCTGTATCCCCGTATAGCCCATGTGGACTTCGGCTGTGGTTGATTTTGCACTGATTTCTGTGCATATCTCTCTGTGAGCTGCTCTGGAGGCTCTCTGAGAACAGAGAACCCACCTACCTTCGTCTCCATATCCTTAACATGTTGTTGGAACTTGATAACTTTTGAATGAATCTTGAATGAAAAATAGACACACATACACACATATTGGGAAGGGGAGCTTAAAATTGAGACAGCTTAATAGGGTAGGTGGCCCAGTTTGGGGAAGTTTCACTTGTCCAGCGAAGGAATCCCCTCAGTGACCCTTCACCTCACCCTTGCAAGACTGGACCTTCAGACAAGCGACCATGTGTTAATTCATTACGTTTGCCATGATGTCTTACACAATGTCTTGTATCTTTTCTGGTTGCACAACTCATACCCAATCCTTTTGGCAAGGTCTTGAATAATATTCATGTTTGAAAACAAGTTCAAAAGCTGGGAGAACTGCCTTCTTGTTTAGCAGGAACACAGTTATGTGGAAGAAATCCTTCCAGGATGCACTTGGCCATAAACTCTTGTGTTCTTTCAGAAGGAATAACAGGATAGTTTGAGAGTAATGTTAAGAGTACTTTTAATCTTGTCATGAGATCCAATTTACTGTACTTTGACTAGCCTCTTAATAGTCCTTATGGTTATTTATCTAGTGTAGCGTTTGAAGCTCAGTTTAGTTGGCACATAGCTTGATTATGCCCTTAACTGGCAGGTCCCAGCAGAGCAGAGGAGCAGGAGTTTACATGTAGTTAAGCAGTGTGCACCTACGTGGTTTGTCCCGTATTCCCCAGGCTTCTGCATTTAACTCCTCTCCTTGCCCCAGCTGAGGAATACAGATGTTGTTTTTGTATAACCCATCCTGTTCCTGCTGGTGCCAGTTCTCCTCTATAAAAGAAACAAAAGAGAGTGGGCAGAACAGAAATTAAAGCCAACTTGAAGAACTAGCTTACCTTTATTAAATTAAAGAACAAAATCCAGTACTGGTGCGGCACACTGTTATTGAAAGGCTGCTAATGTTACAAGTGGCATCTATAACTTGAAATTATTTGGCCCTGTATAGCACTGACTCTACTTCTAATAATAATTCCTACCACAAACTATTCAAGAGAATAAGCAAAAGCTCTACATTTTTATTGCAGTGCTATCTATGATAACAGAAACCTGGGATGGGCTTAACACTTTGATCTGTAGAGGATGTGTTTACTAAATTAAGGCACATCAACATGATGGATTATTATAGAGCCTTGAAAATGTGATTATCGAGATAATGTAGGTACTTGAATGGTTTACCATCCAATTAGTGTCAAGAGGAGCTGAATGCGGAGTGTCCTAATTTGTCGTGTAAGTGCTGGGGTCAAAGGCTGGAAGATAATATGCAAAAATAGATATAGCTTTATTTAAGTGATGGGATCATGGGCAATTTATGTCTTTCATATTGGTGATCATGGTTTTTTTTAAATAAACTTTATATTTTGGAAAAATTAGAGGTTTACAGAAAAATTTCAAGGATAGTACAGAGTTCCTGTAGATCCCTCACTCAGTGTCTCCTATCGTTAATATTTTTTATCATTTTATTTTAAATTAAAAGTGAAACTATTCCAAAAATGATGAAAGATGTTACTAACCACCTATATATCCCTTCTGTGTTAATGGTTTGTAGTCTATCTTTCCATACCTTTATCTCGGCTCTTAAGAACCTGTATGTATGTGTATATTAATATAATTATTATCATAGTATAATGTGTGATAATATGCATGTTATTTGGTAACTTGTTTTTTCACTTGATCTACTATGGACATGCACCAGTGGTCTGCAGCCCTGAGTATTACAATCATCTGGATGCTTTAAAAATCTTGATTCCCATGTCTCTTCCACAGAGATTTTTATTCAGACTAAGGTTGGGCTCAGGGATCAGAATTTAAGGTTCTTGTGTAATCCACTGTGCAGGTCAGGTTTGAGGACTACCACTCTAGATAAATGCAGTCAGTTATGTCTAATTATTTTTGGTAATAGCCACAGTTGTACCAGTGTTGATCTAGTCATTTCCTTGTGGTTGGTGTTTCGGGTTTTTCTGCCACATCAGCAGTGCTGTGGTGGACATCCTGATGTGTCCTTACTCGTTTCTGTAGGACAGGCCTCAAAAATGTGTCTGCTGTGCCAAAGTACATGTGGATATGTACACCTTAAGTATTAAGAACACTTCCCAGATTCCTTTCTTAAAGAAATCTTAGTGACTATACAGATCTTTTCCATTGTCTTAAAGTGTAACTTTTGCTATCAACTTTCAGGGTTAGTCCCTTTTGCTCAGTGGCACAAATGCAGATCATTCTTAATGGTAAAAGCCACAGACCTCAATTAAAATGGTAAAATGTTAAAGTTTATAAAAAACCTCTCAGTGGGAGTCTTTTATCACTGTTTTGTTTTCCAACAGTAGGTTGAGAATTCAGATGGCTGTTACCTGCTTGGCATGTTTTCTGGCTCTTGGGTACCTTCCTCAGTATACGAAAGGCAATTTGGAAAGCTTGGAGGCTAGGAGAAAAGGTCTAAACTCTTGCCTCTAGAGCAACTGCTCACTTTGAGTGACTGGGTAAAGGGCTGGCTGGCATGCGTGTCTTTTGAAAAGAAAGATATATTCTAGGGTCACATACTTAGTATTTTTTCATAGAAGAAGTTTGCAAGTTGACATGCTTCTTGTCCCTAAAATCAACCTTCTAATGCAGTGTTCCCATAAGTTTACCACTGAAGTACTCCTCACCACTAATGAAAGTGACCTTGTGCCCTAGATGTGTCTGGGAATTTTCAGAAATGACAGTGGAAAGTTTCTTTGAAGCCTCCTCTTCTATTTGAAAAATGTATTCAGATTTTACATTCTATTACACAGTGTAGTTGTTTCAGTGAAAAAAATGTTAAATAATTTGCCATCAGAAAGAAAGTTCAAAACTCTTTTCCCTCCAATTTTTTTTCAGAAAATTAACACTTTTGTACATGTCTATAATGTGCACTTTATCCAAGGGCCATTTATGTAAGTTTGTCAGTTGTTTTTGTTTTCCTTAAAATTTTTACTATCATGCTTGAAAATTGATCTGTGGTATTATAGTAGTTTAGCTTTGTGAGTTATTCTGTCGTATAAAACTCCATTGCATTGTATACCAAGCCATATTTTTCTTGTTATTTAATTTTTTCTTCTCATTTATGTTTTTTTAATTGAAGTGAATTGAAGTATAGTCAGTTTAGTGTGTCAATTTCTGATGTACAGCATGTTTCAGTCATACATGTATATACATGTATTCCTTTTCATGTTCTTTTTCATCATAAGTTACTACAAGATACTGAATGAAGTTCCCTGTGCTATACAGTAGAAACTTGTTTATCTATTTTACATGTAGTAGTTAGTATCTGCAGATCTCAAACTCCTAATTTATCTCTTCCCACCCCCTTTCCCTCTGGTAACCATTAGTTTGTTTTCTATGTCTGTGAGTCCGTCTCTGTTTTATAAATAAATTCATTTGTGTCATTTTTTTTAGATTCCACATGTAAGTGATATCATATGGTATTTGTCTTTCTGGCTTACTTCACTTAGTATGATGATCTCCAGGTCCCTCCATGTTGCTAGTTTGCCAATTTTGAAGTGTAATCCTCATTTGGTTACTTCTTCCTATAGGTTTATTTTGCTTTTTTTTGTTTTCTGATGACATTGGCTTAGACTTAGCTCATACCAGGGGAGGCAGATTCCTTTTGTGCAAGCTTTTTAACATTGTTTCTGTCCTTTTACTGTAATTTCTATGCAAAATTGGTGAAAATGCAAGAAATGCTAGTTTAACTTTCTCATGTATGGTCTCTTTGTAGGAGGAGAGGGCAGTGAGAGATAGGAATCTCCTCCAGGTTCAAGACCACGATCAGCCCATTCCATGGAAAGTACAGTTTAACTTGGGCAACAGCAGTCGGCCCAGCAACCAGTGCCGGAACTCCATTCAAGGGAAGCACCTCATCACGGATGAACTAGGTAAGGCTGGCTCCCTTCCTCTGCTGCAATTGATGAAATACGCCTGTGTGGCCATTCATAGGTTTTTAAATAGAGATTTGATATCCTGCCTTTCCCCTTCTTGCCCATTCCAGCATTTCTTACAACTTTTGTCTTTTATGTCATACTCATCGAGGGCCCCCTCAGCATCAGAGTGGGAATGTAATTTGGTGCAACACTATGGAAAACAGTATGGAGGTTCCTTGAAAAACTGAAAACAGAATTACCATGTGGTTCAGCAATCCCACTCGTGGGCAGAAAAGATAGAAATTCTAATTGGAAAAGATGCATGCACCCCAGTGTTCATAGCAGCACGGTATACAGTAGCCAAGACATGGAAGCAACATAAATGTCCATTGACAGATAACTGAGTAAAGAAGCCACGGTATGTTTATACAATGGAATACTACTCAGCCATGAAAAAATAATAAAAGAATGCCATTTGCAACAACATGGATGGACCTAGAGTATATCACACTAAGTGAAGTAAGTCAGAGAAAGACAAATATCATATGATATCACTTATATGTGGAACATTTTAAAAAATATGACAGAAATGAATTTATTTACAAAACAGAAACAGACTCACAGACATAGAAAACAAACTTATGGTTACCAAAGGGGAAAGGCAGATGGAGGAGGGATAAATTAGGAGTATAGGATTAACAGATGCACACACTATTCTATATAAAATAGGTAGGCAACAAGGATTTATTATATAACCCAGGGAACTGTATTTAATACCTTGCAATAATCTATAATGGATAACAGTCTGAAGAAGGTTCCCCTCAACATCAGAGAAGCTAGGTTTGATCATTGTAACTCTGAAGTTTCTGGTGCCTATAACTTACAGTTTTAGCATTTTATCATACATCAGCCACTGGGCTGCTTGCTTCCTGCCAGTCTCTTCCTAGCCCCAGTATTTTCACATCTTGCTAATCTTTTCTTCTCATCTTGATGGTGAACTCTATGACATAATCAGTTTTCCTGCATGGTGACCTGAGTCATATCCACAGTGTTGGTATTTAGGAAATGAATATGCTTGTTGACTGACTGACTGCACAATCTCAAATGAATTATAAGCACATTCAAAATGTGTTACTGTTACAGTTAGGACATCAGTCTGCTTCTTTTTGTTATATTCACTAGTTTTGTTTTTTTAGATCCACATGTAAGTGCTATTATATGATATCAAAGTATTTGTCTTTCTCTTTCTGGCTTATTTTACTAAGCGTAATACCCTCCAAGTACATCCATGTTGTTGCAAATGGCAAAATTTCATTCTTTTTTATAGGGGTAGAGGACAAAGAGGTAAAAACTACTATGTATAAAATAAATAAGCTACAAGGATATATTGTATGGCACAGGAAATATAGCCAGTATTTTATAATTATAAATGGAATATTACCTCTAAAAATCGTGAGTCGCTGTGTTGTCACCTGAAATTTATATAATATTGTAAATCAGCTCTATCTCAATTAAGAAAAAAAAACAGTCTCTTTGACTTAGTGCTTTCTTCCAGAGTTTTCTTGCTTTCGTTTTGTCTGTAAGAAAGTGTGTAGGAAGTGCAGCGTGAGGTGTTTGGATCAGGTAACTGCTGGACCTTACTTCTCTTAAGACTGGCTCGGTCCCCCAAGGAGAGACTCCCACTAATGCTCAGCCTGCATTAATGTAGCTCTCACTGTATGCTGGGCACTGGGTAAAAATTCTCCTTGAACAACATCTCATTTGATTTTTGCAGCAGACCTGTGAGCTGTAGGTGTTGCTGCCCTCACTTTACAGGTGAAGGCACAGGCGCCAAGTGGTTCAGGAACATGCCCAAGATGGCAGTGGCTCTTTTATAAACCATAAGTGGGATACTATTATCACACCAAAAGAGTAACACTTTTCCTTAATGTCAGCTATTCAAATGGTGATCAGAGTTCCCTGATTGTTTTACAGATTGTTTTTCTTTTTTCAGCTAGTGGTTTGCAAATAATATGGTTTGTTTGCAAGAGTACATTTTACTCTCTCTCAGAGTCTCAGAACAAGTGGATTATGACCATGACAATACTGAAATTGATACAGGTAACCTTGAATTAGAATCTTCATTGCTACATAATGAAACGCAACAAAATGAAGACACGTGCTATCTTTAAAATGAAACTATAGCGCGTTGTAATTTTAAAAAAAATTTTGCATCCCCAGCGAAATAATTAAAAAAAAAAAAACTTTTCCCAAACGATCTCAAAGGCATCAGAGCAGATGAGATTATTTGCAGTTGAAGGCAGGAGCCAGGAAAACCACCCACCTAGGTTAGAAGAGCTGGAAAATTTTGCACAAAAATGCAGTGACGACTCAGCAGTGCAAAGCTCTGTTTTTAAGATCACCCTGATAAAGCAGATAATACTGTGAATAACTTTTTTTTTTTTTAACAGAGTAAAGTTCAGTGAAAGGAAGTTACTTCCACAAGATGACACAGCTAGTCAGTCAGTGGGCAGACCTAGGACTAAGACTAGGAATGAACTTGGAGTTCAGTGCTTGTTTTCTTTCAGACTTTTGTTTGTATGATAGAAAACATGAAACCTTATGCCTTGACTTTAATATTTACTATTGGGTTATGAAGGGCAATTTGTCTTTTTCTTTTGTAGCTAACAAAAGAATTTCCCCCTGATTAATTCAAGTGAGACAGAGACTCTCAAACTTAAGTTAAAAAGTTCCAAGAACCAATGAAAAAATCTGAGAACCATAGGGTTGTTTTGGGTTTTTTTTTGACCTCTAGGTATGTGGGAGAGGAGGGAAGCAGTGTAATAAAGAAAACTTGGAGAAATTTTTGCCTTTTTGCAAGCAGATGTCACCATCACAAATATTGCCAGGGTGACATGTTATTAAATAAGACAACCAATTAGAATTACAAACTTTTGAAAAGTTACAAGTCAGTTTCCCAGTCAATGGCAGCTCACTCGAGGTTTTGATCTCATAGGACTCCTTGTTGGAAATAATGTTTGCAGGAGTAATTTCTGATGCAGAAGGAGAAATCTTGATGAACTTTCTTTCACCAGAAGTTAGAAAAACCTGTGGTTTCAAGGCTAAACACTGGTAGTTTGTACTGGGGAAAAACAGAAGGCCTGAAATGCTGACAGTTATGATATGGAAAAGAGAAAAGGGCAAAAAGGTAAATTCAACGAGTGGAGTTTAGGTCACATAATATTTTACATCCTCCTGACACAGAGGTCATGTGACAAGATGATCCCAGGTAACTGGAATCTGGCTCTCCCAGGCCTGCTTCCCCAGTGCGAAGGGGGGCCCCTTCCGCTCTCTCCCACTGTTGTTGTGCTGGTGCCTCCTGCTTTTGCACAGACTTTGTTTTCCAGACTAGTTTCTGAAAACAACCTCATGCTTCACCAGGTCTCATTCTCTGAGGATTAGGAAGCTGGGGCATTTGGAATGGAATGAAGTGAGAAACAGCTGCTCTGCACCTGTGGGCCCGCGCGTGCACCTGTGGGCCTGTGTGTGCACCTGGCAGTTTCCCAGGGGCCAAGTGGTGTTCCTCGTGGACTTATTCCTACATTTTTCCTACTCCCAGAAGGATGTAGAGAAATGTCTCTTTAGCAGCTCTGAACAATAAATTTAGCTTTTGTGAGCAGATTCTTTACTTACAGTTGAGCATGAGTGAGTGAACTGGGCTGAAGGAGGATGAGGATTTATGAGAGACGGAGGGAGTTAGGAGGATTTTTCTTCCTTGGGTGTTAGAGTACTCGCGTTCCCTGGTGCTGAGGGTTAACTGAATCTCTGACATGTATACTTATAGCCTGAGTCCGTTTTTAAAGGTTAGGTGTGACTACTTGTTTTTAAAAAACATCCCTCAAACTACTAAGTAACTGGCAAGCACTTAAAAGGTATTAAATGTAAAGAGTATGTGTGGAGTTGTGGTGGGTTTTTTGGGTTTTGTTTTTGTTTTTTAATAATCTAGAAGGATCTTACTTTCAGGAATGAACACCTTGGTTTTTTCCGCTTTTCAGATTTTTGTTTGAAAAAGAATGTTTTTCAAGCATAGATGAAAAAATTGGCCTCCATAGGTTAGATCAGAAAACAGGCAATGCGATGATTAAATCAAACACACGGCAGCAGACTAAAAGGTCTTTGATAGATTGGGACGCATAACCTACATGTAAAACAGGAGTCCATATTTTCTGTAAACTGCCTCTCGTAGAAAGCAAGCTCTGATCACACTGTGCCTAATTCCTGGCCCTGTGGTCCTTAGGATGCCCTGTCTCCGGACTCCGTCTCTGTCCTTTGTGTGCAGGACTTTGATTGCTGCTTCGTGATTGCCCCTGGTGGACAGGTGGGAGGACTGCTGGGTTTATACTCAGGCTAGTTTCTGACTTTCAGGTTACGTGTGTGAAAGGAAGGATTTGCTGGTGAATGGCTGCTGTAACGTCCACGTCCCTGGCACAAAGCAGTACTGCTGTGATGGCTGCTTGTCCAACGGCTGCTGTGGCGCCTACGAGTACTGCGTGTCCTGCTGCCTGCAGCCCAGCAAGGTACCAGAGGTGCTCCTGGCTCCCCATCTCCTTTGTTCTCTCTGTGTTCGCTTCACAATGAGGACTAGATCTTCATGTGAGATTCTTTTGGAAGTAGAACTTAGAAGGGAGCTTTGTAGGTGTCAGAAATGGCTGCTGTGAAGTAGCCTTTGTCTGCCAGGAAAGGAAGTGGTTCCCGGTTACTCCAATGGTACTTTGGCAGAATGAGCCATTGTTTTGCTAGTAAGATGTCTAATGAATGAGACACCAGCCCTCCTGCTCACTTGAGCCTCTCTCTCTCTTTCTCTACCTCCCCCCCCCCCCTTCCCTGTATCAGCAGTCTCTTAGTTTAGGAGAAATTTCCAAGGTTACCTTGTGCTGCTGAGTCTGGAATTTATTACAGGTACTAACTTTCGTTTCCATAGCAACTTCTCCTGGAGCGCTTCCTCAACCGGGCAGCTGTGGCATTCCAGAACCTCTTCATGGCAGTTGAAGATCACTTTGAATTATGTTTGGCTAAATGCAGAACCTCATCCCAGGTCAGAAGCTGTGATGCCTCTAGCTGGGAAATGGGGGGGGTGGTTAGAGTCTAGAATAAAACTCGAAAATATGCACTGGGGGCCTTCGGTGGGGTGATGATGGAGACGAGATTTAAATGGAACTGTATGGCGCTTTGGTGGAATGATTGTACAGTCATCCTTTGGTATCCGTGGGTGATTGGTTCTGAGACCTCATCTCTGAATGTTCAAATCCCTTATGTAAAATGGCATAATACTTGCATATAACCTGCTACATACATCCTCCGGGATGCTTTAAATCATCTCTATAGATTACATATAACAATACAATGTAAATGCTATGTTTTGCTTTTTGAAACTTTCTGGTTATACTTCTGATCCTTATTTGGTTGAATCCACAGATGGCAGAACCCATGGGTATGGAGGACTGCCTGTATTTAGAATGTCAGTGTGAGATTTGTACAAGTTAGGGATGTAAAATATTTATATTAAGTCAAGGTCTGATCACCTTACATCTCCACTGTTTGATTAGCTTGTCTACGTTTTGAGTGGAGGCTTGAAATTATTTTCACCTCTGAGTGGAGTCTTAACAGTCAAATTCCTGAGAGAAGTTCTCTCCACTATCTTTGACTGAAATTTGACTAAGGCTTTCCAGCAACCACTCGTTTAGAGTGGGTAGTAATTTATTCTGGGATAGAGTTGCAGTTTATTTTAGGATTCAAGGGGATGGGGCAGGTGGGTGTTGAAAAACACGGGTAAATCTGTAGGTTGTCAAGCTCTCAACTCTTTTTAGCATGTTGTCATTAAACGCTTGGCTCTTTGGGCACTAAACACGGCACCGGCACCAGCTGCTGAAGGTGTGTGAACGTCTTTGTCTTTCCATCACTCTGTATCCTCTGCTCTCAGTTTCTGTAATTGGGCAGTTGTTGGAGCTCCCTCTGTAAAATCACCTGACGTGTTTGTTATACAGGCGTCCATTCATGGTGTCTCCAAGATTGTACTGGCTCCGTCTGAGATAACTGACTCATTTGTCATTCTCTGGAACTTTTGCATCCTTTGCCAGACTTCTGTAGTCCACCTTTTGATTTTACGCTGTTCTTTTTGTCTCTGGTCTGCTCTGAGAGCGTTCAGCATCCTTGGGTAAATGTTTCAGGGATTATAATGAGCATTTGAAAACATGAAGAAATTCCTGATGGTCTTGTTTTGCTGGAGGAGCTTTCCATTTGAATGGGTTTTAAAGGAAATGTGGAGGAAGGCTGACCACATGATTCATTCTGATTCAGGCTCTCTCCCATTCTGAGAAATACTAGAATAGGCCAAGTGTTTCCTTTCTTAACTGATAAAACCCAGGATATTTCCAAACTTGAGTGAAGGTGCTAAACTTTCTGACTTTGTCTTTTCATTGTAAAGAGAAATTTCCCAGTTGCCAGTTTGCCTTTATAACAGTGTCCCAAGACAGACAAGATTTGGCTGCGTGGTCTGTAAATTGGATTAATACTTATAGTTTAGATGTTTAGCCTTGGTCTTAGGCTAATTAATGGTCTTAGGCTAATCTAGATTAGCCAAAAACTCGAGTTGCTTGTATGAAAACAAATTGCTGAAAAATTAGCCATCGAGGATGATTGTCTGTGTTAAATCCCACTTTGAGTTTGCTTAGCCAAACGAGGCTTGTGTGGTACTGTGAGATTTGGCTTGTATATCATCCCTTAGGTACATAAAACTCGACGAAAGCGATTTGAGGTGGGTCTCCTTCGCCTCTGCAGGAGAATTCCTCTGAAGCTGTTAGATCCTGTTGGATCTTAATCTGACTTAAAATAATTTGAGAAAAATTCATTGTCTCGAGTTGTCCCAGTCATGGCCAGGTTGTTCCAAAACTCACCAGTGTGCATGAAAAGAAATGGTTATGCAGTGACTGTGTCCATTTCATGCTCTTCATTGACATTCTGTGATGAGCATCCACCTCTGTTCCAGGAAGTGCCTTGGAACCTTTTGGTGACATTTGGAGGAGACGGACTTGCCCGGCTCCTGCAAGGAATGTCTGATGGCCGCTGCCCTGCTCGCTCTCACCACGCTCTTCTCTCCCCTTTTGCCAACAGAGCGTACAGCACGAGAACACCTATAGGGATCCCGTAGCAAAGTACTGCTACGGAGAGAGCCCGCCTGAGCTCTTCCCCGCGTAACTGTGGGGGGACTCAACCCGCCAGCCAGGATGTGCTGCTCAAGAACTTGCAGCCTGAACCCCCTCACTAGTGGTGGGGAGAAGACTTGACCTTGACCACTTCTTGTGTTGTGCTCTTTGGCTTCACTCGGCCGCCAGGTTTACCAGATGGACTTGTCCTGTGAAGCATTTGGAAAACGCCAGCAGTTCACATTCAAGACAAGACTGTGGGCCACCTGGCAGAGGCATCAGTGCTCTGGGTGCCTCTGCCATTGTGGCTGCTTGGGGACCTGTGGGTCCCCACCTGTGTTCTCCCTGGGCCCCTCGCTGTAAAGTTATTTATTGGATTTCTTTGGAGTAGTGGGGAAATTCTAGTATTTCCTGTAGGAAACGTGCCTCACCTTGAGAATTGAATACATTCAAGGATGTTATTGTTGCTGATGTCCTCATTTTCTTGTGTTCTTGGGTTTCATGAGTGAAATTGTCCCATCACCCAGATAAAATGTATAGCCTCTTAGAACATGCATGTTCCCTCAAGGTGGTTTATTTTTTATTTCTATTTTAACAGCATCCTCAGGAGCGGGCCCGGAATACCGTGTCCTAAAAACTCAGATGCTGTTCCGTTCTCATCCTGTGCCAGCTTCCTAGCAGCTGGCACCATGTGCTTTCAGGTTTTTTTTCCAGTGGTATTTCGATATGCTTGTTTACCTATGTGCACGCACCATTTTAACCAGAAATTCTGCCTTGTTGTCCTGGGCGGTTTTGTTTTCATTTCTTACACCACTATTGAAGTGACTGGTCTGTTCAGCGGTGGTACAGCGGAAGCCTCGGAAAGTCACCTGCAAGACAGCCTCCTCTCCTCTCCTGTCATGGAATTCTACCTTAAGGCGTTTCCTAAGTGGAGATACATCTCACAACGGACTGTAAGTGGTCATCCTTTATTGCTTTCTGCTTCTGGAAATGTAACAGGTACAGACATTCGATTTCCCTATGGTTTACTAAGAAGAACAAAACCCACGTTACTCTCAAGGTGCTATTAAAAGACTCACATCAACCTTCAGTGGAGCTGGACACACAGGCTGCTGGTCCATATGCTCGAAGCGCTTCTGTGCTTTTGGTGTGACACCAGCCCTTCCTGGTCATGGCTGAGGCATCATACCCCTTGGGTAGTATGACTCTTTGCTCTCAGGAATTGATGCACACGTCTTTACCGGAGCCCCTGACTAACCCCAGGATCAGGCAAGGTCTTGCTCATTTTTTTAGTTGTTCAGCTTTTGACCTTGGAGCAGGGCGCAAGTTTTACAGTCAACTTCCAGAGCTTTTATTTCGGTGGAGATTTTTCTTTGGGCCACGTTTGCCGTCCTGTATATTTCTGCAGTCTGTATAGTGGAAATTTCCCTAAACTTTCGGAACCGTTACTACTTTTTTAAACTTTTTTTTTATTTTTTAAATTGTTTTGTCCAACTATTCAAAAATGTTTTAATTAATTTTTTAATCTTTTTTTGGGAGAAGGTAATTAGGTTATTCATTTTTTAAATAGAGGTACTGGGTATTGAACTGAGGCCCTCAGGCACGCTAAGCATGTACTCTACCACTGAGCTATACCCTCGCCCCCTCCTCCCACTACTTCTTACACTTATCTTCCTAAAGTAGTTTGTCCCCCTAAATCAGCTATTCTTAGACGGTGAACTATCTGGCAGTTATTTTTTAATGTTAGATCCCAGGAAATCTACTCAATTTACATCGGGCTTTTCAGATTCTGTGGGTCTTCACCGGTGCTCAGTCAGACTTTGTATGTGAAAGTAATGGGCACGTCTGGGTGTTTCACTGTCTCATTCCTTTTGGTAACTCAGTCTGTCTTCTGGTGGTTGTCACTGACCAGCCTCTCCTTGGAGCTTATTTGAATCTTTGAGCAATAACGTAGAATTACTGTGAAAACAGTTGACATCAAAGGTCAGCCGTGCATTTGAATATTGGCTAGCACATTTTGCATTTTCACTGCTTTTACAGTCTCTATAACTTAGGTAGAGAATTAAGCCTTGCTTGTTCCCACTCCGTAGATGGAGAAATAGAATGAAGTGACTTCCTGGGGTCCCCGCTGAGATTTCATGACGGACCCCAAAAACAAGACTTCATGTCTGGCTCTGGTTCCACTGTCCTCCTCACACCCCTTGCCAGCTCCAGTGCTGACTCAACTGTAAACACTCCTGTGAGGGCGTGTGGCTTCGGACCAGGAGAGGGGAGAGGTGGTATATAAGTAGCCAAACTGGGTTGATAATCCAAAGGGCATTTTCACTTGGCCCTAGAACATGTTTTTTTTTGTACTTAAGTCAATTAAGAGGCGTGTTCACTGTTCTGGAAACTTAACAGCACTGCAGGCTCTGTAAGGAAGCCACCTAAGGACCTGGAACGTCATGGGCATCCCCAGGCTTCCAGGCCAAGAGCCCTCCCTGCTCCCCTCTCTGGTTTGTTTCTGGTTCCCTTGACCAAAAGTTTCTAGAATTAGAGACCTTGCATTAGTTCTGTATGCTTAGAGCTCAGCAAAGTGTGTGATACACATTAGGGTTTTAGGAAGAGATCAAAGAAGGGATGGAAACATCTTCAGTTCAGAAAAAAAAATTTTTTAATCCCAAGTGTTTAGGGCTAAAGGTAATTGGGTAATTCAAAGCATTTCCCACGATTCTGAATCTTAATTGCCATGCTCATTGCTGGAGCAATAAAGATAAGATAGGTCCTAACAGGGAAAGAAACATTCTGTAGAAAAGGGCCCTGAGGTGAGCATGGTCAAAGGATGGGTACCTGCCTCCATGGCACCTGGGATGTGGGGTGGCCTGGATCCTGCGGCATTGGAGCTGGCTTTGAAGGGCAAGCTTGGCAAGCTCTTGGAAAGGCAGGAGGTAGGATTTTAGAGCAGGATTTGCAGCTTTCAGCCTGCTCCTAGAGCTGACTCGAAGGCCTACTGGGGAGTGCCTCAGTGGGTGAGCCTGCAGAGGCACCATGGGGGAGCTGTGTACAGGTTCCAGGCAAGCTGTTCCCATCGTTGGGGATTGTAAGTGGGCAGAGATGTTGCTTATTTGGTCTGCTCTTTACGGGCAGGAGAGAATTCTACCTAAGGTGGACTAACGCATGGCCTTGGGCAGTTTTCTTTCCTCTTCTGAGTCCCAGCCCCTGCTCTGTAACATGGGATCACATCTGCTCCTGTGGGGTTGTTGTGAGGTGTCAGAGTGAGTGAGGGCCCAGTGCTGGGCAGGAGGTCGTGTCCGCGGCCCAGCGGGGGCCTAACAGGTCGTTGGCAGGGTGGGGATGGGTGGGCCCCTCTGGTGGGAGGGTGGCAACTACCGAGCTCTTGGTATTATTTTTATTACTATTTCTAGAAGAAATCATGCTAAAGATTTAAAAAATGCAGGTAATTCAGAAGTACATCAAGATGAAAATAATAACTGAAATCACACAACCTAGAGATCAGCCTCAGTCATTTTTTACTCCCTCATGATTTTCTAGACAGAAATGAGAAGTTTTTCCTCTTGAAAACAGTCCTCTGGTGGATGTCTTTCTATGTTACACATAGGCCTATCTAATAATTTTTAATGACCACGTTGTGTCAATTTCATGACATTAATGTTATTCATCCCTTGCTGAGGACATTTAGCTTATTACTTTTTTTTTTGGCCACTACAAATAATGCCCTGAGATTTGCTTTCACGTGCACATTTGTATGTTTATCTCAGAACTATTTTCAGTTTGTACTCCCACCTGAAGTTTGTGGGAGTGTCTCTTGCCATACCCCTGAGAACCCCGTGTTATCATTTTTCAACTCTTTGCTAATGGATCTCAATGTTATACTTGATATTTACTTAATTTCTAGTGAGGTGAACCCCTTCCCATGTTTTGACTGGCCATTTATCATTCAGATGTGGTGAAGTGCTGTTTGTGACCTTGGCTGGTTTTTCTCTTCGTCTTTTTCTTACAGAACAGCCTTCACTGAAAGAGGCCTTAAACCCCTCTTGTCTTCCTCAGGCCTGCATTACTTAGAAGCAAGTGGCTTATGTATTAACAAACTAACTTTTCCAGTTGGTCTAGGATGGCAAACAGGGGCAGTTTTGCCCCCGGGGAATAGTTGGCAACATCTGAGACATTTTTGTCACAACTGAGAGAGGGTGTAGTACAGGTGGTGGGCGGAGACCAGGGCTGCCGCTGAACACCCTGTGGTGCACGGGGCAGCCCCCACTACACAGCAGCATCTAGCTTCAAACATTAGCAGTGCTGAGGTGGAGAGGCCCTACGTAGCCTTGGGTCACATTTCCCCCTTCAGTTATATAGAAAAACTGCCAGGAGCTGAGAGCCGACTTTATTATATCCCTGCCCTCGCTTTCTGCCGTGCCCAAGTGCTGCTGATTAAATTACCCTGAAATCCCACAGGGCCTGCTGCTTCCTCGCAGGTCTCTACCAGCCCAGTGCTGTTTCCAGGAGTGGCTTCATTACTCTGCCGCAGTGTCCCTCGTGCGCCGACACAGTCCAAGTTCAGATACCCTCCTGTCTGCAGAACGACCCGCAGGTTTACAAACAGCCCCCTCCCCACCCGGCAGATCGGCTCTCCCCAGGCCCTACAGCAGCTCTCTGCACCATATGACTTTGTGGGTCGGGGGAGGAGAAATGTCACTACAGATTACATTTGGAAAGCTAGTCACTCTACTATAAAAAGGTACCACGTAAGTAAATAGTAATAATTAAAAAAAAAAAGTAGCTGGTGGGATGATGAGAGTTCTTTCCTACACAGCGCTTTTCCCGATGGCGGCATCAGTGCACTGTCCTCCAGGCCCTTTTCCTGTTTGGATTCTTCTAGCATAGGTTGTCCTCATGGTCTGAGGACAGTTTTGGGTCCAGGATCCCTGTTTTTGCTCAGTCACATGTCTGCGGCGTTTCGCGTCCAGGCTGCTTTCACAGACACGGAGAGGAACAGGTGACCCTGCGGACGGTGAGCGAACAGTGGGGGTCGTGCCTGCCAGCCCTGCAGACCCTCGCCCCTTACCTTCATGCTTGTGCACAGCTCGCCTCGTGCCTGCTGTCAGAGCTGAACTGCTGGACTTGTTACATACAGAAGTACAGCCTTCAGTATTACAATAAAGAAACAAAACAACTGGCCAATTACACCCATGGGCCAAGCAGTCAATCACACTTTTGGACAGGGGTCCAGCTGTACCGTTTCTCAGGACTGTGCGTTCTGTGGACCCAGAGGAACCAAAACACATCACTGCTAGAAATGCATTATTTGTAAGTGGGTACTTCCAGAGTTTTTGGTAGGATCAATAGTTCCTCCAGTCTTTGAACTTTTTAAATTCGTAAGTTTTTTATGCAGCATAGAGTAGGCAAGCTCGGGTCAGCTTGCATCCAGATTACCACAAAATCAAAAGTGTTCGCTAAAAGAGAAAAGTGGTG